ACATCAGTTCCTTGAAGGTTGCAGATACGCCTTGCTGATGAGTGCCAACTAGCACGAAACCTAGGTCCAAGGCTTCCTGCCGATTGCCTCCAACCATCTAATACCTACTATATCCATGGACGAAGAATGAAAATTGTGATGCCAGGAAACAAGTGGTACTTGTGGTACTTACAGTTTGTAACGCTTACAGAAGTGAATTTGAAAAAAACTGGATATCATGAGAGACCACATTCATCCGAACTAACTTAGGAAGAAATATAGACAGGAATGAAGGGAAAATTCAAGCTACTGTACCTGAAAACATACTACTTCTTAAATTGAGTGGTAATAAACGTCAGATAAGTGTTCTACGACTCTGTATCTGTAGCTGGCTATTCAACGACGGGTAAAAGTGAGCAGGAACTTCTTAGTATAACCAAGAATTACTACACTGGATCAGGAACTGTTGGTTACAAGCAAAGAACAGTTGTACGATCAACTAGTACACACGTATTGCGTCGGTCTCCATTAAATTTAAGTAAAATTATCCGATTTGTTGACTGCAGTTAGCAAAACAATCTGTTTTATAGAAATCAAAAAAGTGAAGAATAAAACTTGGAAGCCAACAGATTAATGGAGAAATGGCCTTCATCTAAGAAGATGAGTGGGACAACGATTGTGTTAAGATAAAAGTGAATGATTTTGGCGTTGTGTTGTCCCTCTGAATGGATGCTTAGCGATAAACTCTCACTGTTGTTCTCCATGAAAAGATTCTGTTACCAACTTCATAGTGAGGTTACCGCTTAAAATGAAAACTACGTCTATTGGAATGAATAGGACGAGAGAACTGTCTGGTGGTCCCTGGTTTTCAGTGCTTTTCAAAGTGATACCAGTCAATGACCAAAGCTGAAACCAATCAAATCCTGATGAAATAATACTTAAAAATTAATCTGATGCCAGTTACTGGTTGACTACAAGATGAAATTGACTGAAGTTCTAACGAGAAGCCATGACCAGTGGAGTCCACGAGGTTGAGTATGAGGGGGAACACTTGGTGAGGACATCAGTTTACTGTGGCGCTAAAATTCCGGAATTGACAGGATTTAAAATTCACTGGCTGTTGGATTCCGTCTCATTCGTCAAATAGTCAATGAGCTCGTGACCTCATAAACTGAAAGTCTTTGGTTCAACTCTTAGTGGATGGAGTCATGCTTGCGCACTGCTAAAGAGTCCCATATTGTCGATGTTATCTCTGAACATGTGGTTCACTGGCCTCGCCATGTGGCGCTTCGGACCCATTTTCAAGTCACATTTCTCCTACTTCAGCCTTATCGGTTGAATAGTGTCATCAGCACTCAAAAATTAGTTTTGGTTCAAAATAACTGGTACGCACTAAGACTATTTCCCTTAACCCAGTTCTAAGTAAAGTTTCAGGGTTTGGTAAATGCTTTCTGATATGCTGATACATGAAGCAGCAACTAGAGTATGTCTAGAATGAAGGATCACCTAATATAGCACACTTTCCCAAGATGAAAGCAGGTGTTTACAAACGTCTTCACTCATAGTAAATATAAAACAATTGAGTAGAATTCAGTGGAAAGATTTCAGGATAATTTGGTTTCAAAATCAAAATATTGGGACTAAAACTAGAATTCATTCGACAGTGAAAATAGTGTTAAATAACGAGCAATGAAACTTCACAGTTTATTTAAATCACTAGCTTGAAGGGTCAGAGAACGTCCGCAAATACTTCCTCACGAGAAAAAGCCTTTGTGTCATTTTCATGAATGAAACCTGCTTAAATATGTTATTCTTAGCACCAACTCCATTAGAAGAACTCAGTATCTACTCCATGAATCTCTATATTTATTTATTTTTTCAAGTATTGGTTTGTAGGGAACTTGTTTGATTGGCTGGGAGATTTCATCATGAGCTGACATCGGTTAGAGGACCATTGGGAAACCAACAGGGAGTACTGGACAACCAGCTGTTTCATCCTGGTTTGGGACTCTTCATCCGTACGAACCGACTGCAGGGGTTCGAAAACAGGGCCTTCCGGTTACATGGCGAGCTCACTTATCGCTAGACCATTAGGATCCGACCTAACGGCCAATGAATTCCAACTTCTGTCAATTCATGACATGGCGCAACCACTTAGCATGCGTCCTGTGAAGAGTCCCAAACTAGGACAAAACAGCTGGTTGTCCAGCACTCCCAAATGGTTTTCTGATGGTTGTCTAACCAATATCAGCTCATGATGAAATCCTCCGACCAGTTTATTTGTTTACTGGATATATCACACAGTGAAATAGTATTTCTTTAACTAGATGAGCTATTGAACACATAATTTCAAAACTTGATTCTTCTAAATGGCATCCTTCTTTCTCATTTTTCGTAAGGGTAGTAGAATTCTCGAGATATCCGAAACAAGCGTTGAATCATTCTCAAATGATTTGGAAAATAAACCTTGAGTTTTTAATCTCTCCTTCTGTGTACTACTCTCACCATAAATTAGAAAAAGTAGGCTCAACTATGGAAACTAAGTTTCAAAGCTGTGTAGTTACAATTGATGATACCATTATGAACAATAAATTGTATGTCCGATACGTCATTTAGTGAATCATACTATTTCACGGTGATAGATTCAAAAAATAAACTGATGTGGAATTACATACTACCGCAGTGTACAACTTCTACACATATATGTCAACATAAAGGTGTAACAACAGAAGACAAGGGCCAGGCAACAGATCGTTTATTTAGGAAAATCAACACGTATTTATAGATTTTTATGTACATTATTGTAGGTCAGTGTTAGTAGAAAATACAGCCTGTTGATTGGTTGTTTCTCTCGCAAGGTTAACCTTGCATATCTTGTGGCTGTGTCAGTTCAACTACATGTTAACTGTATCCGCCTGACAACCTTGACCTTTGACCTCAATTACTGTCAACCAATTTGGCTAGCGACCATCTTTCACCACACTCGTCCCCCCGTCAAAGACTTGCGACTGAAGTTGCTTCGGTCTTCTCGGTTCTTGGGGCTTTTCTCTTTTGTCTTGCTGTCTGAAATCTTGGCGCTTGCGGATGTTCACTTGTTTCTCTGTGTTTACCATTGCGATTGTGTCTGCGTAACCCCATCTCAACGTGACCATATATGGTCCTTCCCACTTTGGAAACTGTTTGCCTGACCCTGTCACACATTCGTAGGTATTTCGCCTCACACTTCCATATGCTGCATTCTCCCGACCTCCCAGCAGCGTCCCAAGTAGCAGCCTCATCGCTGACAGATCTTGAACGCCACTCAACTGCGAAGAAGCCTCGAAGTCCTGCCCGAAGATCCATATGTCTCCATCAAAAACTGCAGGGCATAGGCTTTCCATTTGTCGGTAGGCAGCGACACCAAATGTAACAACAGAAGACAAGGGCCAGGCAACAGATCGTTTATTTAGGAAAATCAACACGTATTTATAGATTTTTATGTACATTATTGTAGGTCAGTGTTAGTAGAAAATACAGCCTGTTGATTGGTTGTTTCTCTCGCAAGGTTAACCTTGCATATCTTGTGGCTGTGTCAGTTCAACTACATGTTAACTGTATCCGCCTGACAACCTTGACCTTTGACCTCAATTACTGTCAACCAATTTGGCTAGCGACCATCTTTCACCACAAAGGTTGTTTTAAAAGGATTCGACTAATCCAGGTGGTCACACTTTCTGGGATTATAGAACCTGTTTTTCACCTACAATACACTTATGCCCGTTTATGAATTTGATTTAAGTAAGAGCAAAATCAGTTTGTTCAGGATACGATGTCACCAACTTTTATTTCGTTGGCTCCTGACCAGCTATTAATAAGTTTATGTACAGATACAATTTTAACGTATTTGCAAATGTTACTTAACGTCAGTTAATGACAGGAGACTTCAAGCTTAATCAACATTGATCAGAAAATTACACCTACATGCTTTAAAACCAAGCAAGTTGAAGTTTAAATAAAAAAGAAATGCTTTGGTACAATGGCAAAAGAGTTACGCATTAAAGTCATGAGGTTGACAAGATGATGAGTAACTAATAACTTCAGTAACAATATAGTGAAATCAACTTAAATTATAGAAACAAGAGACAAACAAAGTTACAGTATACAAAAAAAGAGGAGAGGTCGGAGCCGAAGATTACGTAATTGAATGAAAGACAGAGTAGAGATATCGAGTTACCGGGACAAGGAGAGACTTGGAACTGCTTCTTGATGAACGCATAAATCGGGTTTCAGGTCTTTGGTAACAGTGATTCTTGTGACAAATCTGAGAAGAATTGGACTATATTGTCTTTGAATAAAGCAAGAACAACAGTGGTTTGTGCAGAATAATATGCTACCATCATTGCTTATTTCGTTGGCTTCACATCACCTGCTCCTTACAGCCTAAATAAATTATGAGGTCTATGTACAGAAACGTTTTAACATAATTGCAAATTTTTCATGATGTCAGTTAACAGAAGGTTCTGTAATTAGTGAACAGAGCTCAGAAACATTGCGCTTACCATTGTATGCATACACTTTCTTTAAACTTGAACTTCCCGTGTGAAACTATATAAGTGCAATGTTTCTGAGCACTGTTCACTAATTGCGGAACCTGTAAAATCGCCTCCTCGCAGAAACTATATTGTCTACTGATAATTTTAGAGGATTTCGTCATGTAAACCGCAAAGGCATTGTTCCTTTGAGACGTAGGCTTTTCTGTTGAAGTCCATAAAATCGAAGACATGCCCTTCTTTCTGTTCTTTCAGAATAACTGGCAGCATAGATACATGTAAATTTGTACACACAATCAGAGCTACCATAAGAACAGTATCTGTCGACCTTCGATTGTACCAAAGAGTGTGTTGTTCTATGAAGGCGAGCCAGCTTGTCTACAGCATCGATTCTCGCTAATAAAATATGAAATATTCTTCTGACTATTCCTGCAATAACTTAAATTTCCAATTTATCGATAATACTGTTTTCTTTCCTCACTAACTTTTCAGGATGACACAGCACTGATTCACTCAATTTTCGCCATAGTCGCAGCTAGATTACGTCATAAAACAAATGGTTCCAAGGGATATATCAAAAAATTATCAGAATATGACAAACTAGATCACAGCTGTCACATAAATACGAATGCCAACAATTCAAGAAGTCAGACAGCAGACAAGAAAATCCACCAGCATCTTAAACTTGGTAGTTTTGGTTCAAATGATGCTCAAAAACAATCAATGAATTTTAATAATAATGACGACATTGTTGATAAAGATGAACACCAATTATGGCGATTATGTATTAAATGGAATCCTAGTGATTTCTCGAGGAAATCAGCTGTTGCCTCAATGAATAATCATAATAATGCAAGCGATAATAGAAATGACAACATCCCAACACCTGGAGATATTCACACAATGACGAGTAATGGCGCAGAAGGCAATAAACTGAAAAAGACGCATATCCTTGCCACACTTGGTACTAAAATCGATAAAAACACTTCATGGAGTGATAAATCCACATTATCATTATCTTCCTTAGATATGAAAAGAACTGGTCATCATAATAGAAGGAAAAGGCGAACAACACGCAAACATCGAGCCACAACAACGGCAACAACACTATTATCTCGAAAGAATTTATTCCATCAAGCTATGCATAAATCTAATCAAAGCAATCTAATCGCCTGTTCGCTTTGTCAACAACAAAGCTTTAAGAGTAATCATAAAGCAAAGAAAATTGTGTCCAACAATACGAATGCCGAACAAGAAGAACAAAGAGGAGGCGGAGAAGAGGAAGGTGGAGAAGGAAGAGACGAAGATAATGAACAGGTGGACAAACGCGAATTCCATTTCTTATCAACCGATCAAACACACTGTGTTAATGGGAACTTAAATCAGAAACATTCATTTGATTGCAAACTAAAGAGGCATAAACAAAGTAGAAATTCAAAATGTTCATATAATCAGCAACACTGTTTACAACATTGCCCCCTAAAACTGAATGAGAATAGTAAATTTAAACGAAACAGTTGTCATATATTATCAACTTCTCAGTTCAATTATCATAATTACAATCAGAGTTTATGTTGTAGACAATTTACACCCTGTTGTAATTATACTACTGATGAATTATGCCTTAAAACAAATTGTAATAACATTCAGTGGAATGCTCATCAAGCTTATTCAAGAGAAAATACTCAGTGTGATCATTTGAAGTGTTGTACATCAACCATAAATGATCGATTTGATCCACCAACAACAACAATGTTACACTGTCAGTGTTGTTTGAATACGCATAAAGTAGAATGTAATGGACAGAAATCGATAGAAATGTGTAATAATACTGCCGGGGATTTCATAAGCGATAAATTAGTGGCTACAAATACAAATGCCAATTGTTTTAGAAATCATACATCTACACCAATGTTTTGTTGTCATCATTGTCGGCAATGGTTTGTTCCATTATGGAGTCAAATCAATTGTTCAAGGAATAGAAAGCGTATTTCAAAGGATGACAGGATAGCGTAAGTTTAGTTGAGTTAATAAACTGAGTGCCACTCTCTTACTTAGGACTGTTTTTGTCTTATTTGGTTACTTTTCGTTCCGAGTAGTGCATATGGTGGCTTCAAGTCTCTGCTTTAAAGTTTCAGTAGCCCTGGTGTTTATTTTTTGGGGTGGTGAGGTTGCTTACCTCATACCAAACGCATCTTCTTCACTGGACTTACTATCATCTGTAGGGGTGAGGTTTAAGAATACGTCGGCCGGGGGTAGAACATTGGACCATGTGTTTGGTTGGTGAGTGTTTCTACCACTGAAATAATGACGAATACTGATTAGTAAGTGCTGTATACAATTATCGTTTGATATTCAATTTTTGCAGGGATTTGAATGCTTTCGGGATTTCATCATGAAGTGAAGACCATTGGGAAACTTGGAAGTACTGGACATCTATTTCGCTCTAATGTGAGACTCTTCAGTAGTACGCAGCCATCGGGGTTCAGTTCCAAGACCTTCTGGTTACGAGACGAGCTCGTAGACCATTAAGCCACCATCCAATAGCTCACGAATTCCAACTTCTGCCAATTCATGATATAGCGTGACTGGCACTAGCCAATGTCGTCGGTGAGTATTTGTCCTCACACACGATTTATGATCTCCATTCTTGAACAAATTACTAACAAAGATTGGAGCTTCATAACTTTGCATAGTTCTGAAAGTTTCAACTCCACATTAATGCAACTAATGACCTTCATATGCAGTCAGACATGTCACATGATTATGGTGAGATAGTGATTCGGGTTATTCTGTATATCTTTGTTCATGTCTATGCTCTTGGTTATGTTCTTCTCACGCGAATAAGATTTCCATTTCGACAATTCATTTTCATAAGCTGCTGTACAATCGTTATTATATTAAACAAAGAAATCTTTAGACCAATCAGATACTGTTGAACTTAGTCTTCGAAAAATGTGTTACGTAATGTAAGGTGTGACCTAGATGGGTGACTAATTAGAAGCTAGAAAAGGGGGCAGAAGTTGGCATGACGTAATAAGTGCGAGAAAATGGCCAATCAATATTATTGTTCAGCGTGGACAAAAACTAGTGGAAAGACGACGAAGTGTTTTTATATAAAATCTACATGAAAAAGTAATGCTATTAATAAGCAGGAGTAGAGTGATAATAAAGTTAGGATGATGGGAATAATAATAATATTAATAATAAACTTACATAATATAAGGAAGCAAAATTATAGCGAGGACATTATTCTGGCCACGGTAGGGAAAGTGAATGTATGTAGCGCTTTTGAATGCAGAGGTCTCGTTCCAGATCCCAAAGAGCCAATGAATCAACAATGTACAGACGAAGTACGCGAAGTACCTTTGTACGATATTGAGGGACTCTGTGTATCACTGTGAAGCATTCATGCGGGGGTGCTAGATATCCAGAGCTGACAAAATGTTTGGGGATGGAGCTGCTAGTATTCTTATGTATATATATCACTGTGTTCTTTGATAAACCTGTTATGCGGATACTGTTAAATATACTTTCCATCTCTTGTTGTCTTATGTCCTGGCTTAAGTGGGCTGAGCAAATATGTAGCTGCCGTAGAATTTTGTTGGCGTGGTGAAGCGGCAGACTTGATCAGGGCGTCTTCGTCCAGCATCGATGTTCCTATTTCACTTTAAGAAATATAAAGGTCGCAACATCATATCTGACCTATATTCATAATTGGATATGGCTAGAAAGAGCACACAGTATTAGGGTCTCTGCTGTACCCTAACAACGAATGAGTTGTGACAGGATTAAAAGATGCAATACCTCAAGCGAACTTGCTCACTTGACCTTAAATTAAAACAAATAGTACTGCAAACATCATTAAATCACTAACTGTATTATCCGTGCACCTATTATTTCATCAATTTAGTGTCATTATGTCCCAGTTTAAGTCATTTTGAATCCTCGATAGTTTTAGGACCAACTAAAATGTATATCTATTAGCTCATGGGAGACTTCAAAAGTTCATATGATGCTTCTAAACAATCGTTAGATACAGTTCCAACGATTAACCTGTACTAAGACCAGAAAATAGGGAGCGAGCTAGCGATCCTTCCCCGAAAAATCAATACACTCGCCCTAGTAACTCCCACACACACACACACACAAAAACATGGGACGTAAACTTAAATTTAGGCTTGTTCTGAATCTGCCATGTTCCTATACAGACTTTAATTCAGTCGTGAAAACTCTAAACAGGTGTTAGTAATACAGTCTTCAAGCTAATTCACAGAAAATTTTAAAACGGCAGTGTTAGTGATGTAAAAAAGTAGAGCCAAATGTTCCTCGGAGATATTTGATAGTGATAAGTGACCTTTTTAAATCCTCACTTGTTAGTTTGAAGCCAGATTTTGTCAGCACCAAATGGTCCTAAAAACTTCACTGAAAACAGCGTTTACTGATAGCTGTTCACTGAGTTTTTGGCAACCTTATTTATCCTACTTCCACATCGAGATAATAGACAATGACTACATTTGTAAGTTGAATTCTTTGAAGGCGTCTACTTAAACCTCTTCAAATGATTAACATCACAAGGAGACGAAAACGAAGTCTAATAGTTAACACGAGATTTCACAGGAAATTTGAAGCTCAACTATAATTCCAGTGCAACTTATGTGCAAGTGACTGATGCTTCATAAGTGTAACAACCACTAAAATTATTTCTTCATAAAATAGATGTAGGAGAAACTGGATTATTTTGTGTAGGCTCCCAAACGTACAAGTACATTTAGTAGTACTATGAAGTGTCCATTCGCTTTTGATCACCGTATCCCCTCGAGGGATGACCTTTCCACAGATCAACCAAAATTCCACGACTTTAAATCACGTGTTCACCGAACCCTAGTTATATTCAAATGACTACTTAGTTATTTTTGTTATTAATAATAACATCTTTATTCTGCACAGTAATTATAAAATGTACAGAATTTTTAGAGGAGTTTATTGCATGATATCTTCCGCTGCGTACAATATCTTCAAGTAAAATATTAATTGACAGACAATATATCCTGCGAAACAATGGTCTCGGAGCTGAAACACAAAATATTCCATTATGATATATCTGTTATGTTCCCTTCCTTCAAGAAATCCACGATATCGATCTAGTTGAAAGCCAACTGTAAAATGTTCAGAGGTACATTTTGAGACCGAAGGACGTAACTGAAGAACAGTTATCTCATACATTGGCCTTTCCTCAAGTTTAGTGAAAACTTACGAAGAAGAAGCTTGTAAACATTTTAGATACACACAAGAGTAGATAATACCATTGGAGATCATATCTTAATCGACTAAAACAAACCGAAAAAAGAGAAAATATGTGCAATAGAGAGAGATGAGAGTTTTTTGGTAGCCCATTGTGGTACATTAAATAAGACGTGGGTTTAGAAATAACATTATTATTTTTGTTACTGTATTAATGTTCCCTTCCGTTCCAAGTGGAACATAGGGCTTTAACAGCACATCTCCATATCTTTTCATTTCTTCGGCAACTTTAGCAGCCGTCACAGCCATGTACACTGTACGAAAATTCCATATCCCAACGCTTATCTTTACTATCATACAAAGAAGACACATCAGCTGACTGCCTTCACGAAGGCTTTCAGGAGTCCGCGTCATTTCATCTCTCCCATTTCAATGAGAAACAAGCTTACTTGTATTTCTGTAAGGCTTCAACTGATTTTCCAGGATAGGGTTGGCAGCCGTACTCCCAGTTTTCCCTCATTTCCCTGGCTCAGAACCGGTTAGAAAACTAACGAACCAGTAAATTGGGATAGGGTTTAGAAGTACCAATTAACTATTCAATAATACAAATGTCTATTCAGTCATGTTATGGTTACTTCTCTTTATGAAATGAAAAAAACAGCCTTACTTTCTTGATGTATGTGTAAATTATTTTCTTTATTTTTACAGATACAACCTCCAGAATCATCAATCATACCATCGTTCGTCGAGTCAACCACAGACAAAAACTGAAAGAATGATTCAAAACCAATCTTCTGACCAGATAAAACCTATAAAACAAACCTGTGAATACCATGGCCATAACATTTCTCCGGACAAAACTACCTGTATGCATACTAGTACAGGGTATAACAAACAAATTCCCTTGGCAAACCGACAACAACAGAAACGTCATATCAAAAAACGTGCCAAATCTGTCCTACCCATGTATTCTACATTTAGTGATACAAACAATGGGATACGTGAGTCACCAGTTAAATCCACTGCCTGCCCCATGGCTTCAAACAGTATTCACACAGAATTTAATCATAATCTACTTATGAATACTAACAAGACACCATTGCATCCTTATATTCATGAACAATGCATAAATTTTAAACAAAATAACAAATTTAAACGTCATAATCGTAAATATTTAGGTCAGTTAAATGTTCAAGAATGGTTAGGTAAAACATTGATTAAAAAGTATTGAACCTGTTGAACATTTGTGTTGTTCTGCTTTTAATCTTGAAACATTTTTCTACTTGTAATACAAATATGGATGCTTGTTTTATTTGTAAATCTTCTTTATGAAAGAGAAATACTTTGATATGTACATATTACAATATAGATGTATGCATATATACGTATCGCTTTCTACTTAAATGTTTCAATTTCAAATTTATACGGTAGTTATTCCTTTGGCAGATATTACAATCAGGCATATGATAAAAAAGAGCAAGAACAAGTTGGTAAAGTGTCTGATAAAACTGTAGTCATCAAACTGATATAAGTATAAAACTTGGGCACTGTGATAGAGTATAACTCCATTATAGATAAGATTTTATTTTGATAAATCACACAGTTTTATACAGTAATATTAACTGATGACCACGTTTCGAGCACAAACTATTGCTCATAATCATATCAATTCACTCACACACAAACCAACGCTTTCCAAAAGATATTTAGACTTTAATTCATCTCATCTGTTAACTGTTAAGGCAGGCTTAGTTAAGTGTCTAACAAACCGAGCAATAGCACTAAGTAGTACAAAAAAGACCTAAATGATGAAATGAAACAGATAGAAGAAGCGTTGGTGTTGAATAACTATTAGGAAGATCGAAAAAGGTCAAAAGCAAATTAAAAATAATTGTGAAACTAGTAATGATAACATAAATAAGAGAGAATATAAGTCACCACTGTTATACCATATAAGGAGGGGACATCTGATACCCTACGTAGGATTCTTAATAAAGCAGGAATTAGGGTGGCATTCAAACCTACAAACTCACTCAGGTGGGACAAGCTCTGTAGGCTAAAAGACCCGGTGGACCCAACTAAACAAAATAATATAATTTACAAAATACCTTGCAATGACTGTGAGGTCAACTATATAGGTCAAACTAGTAGATCGGAGGTAACCAGATTGCCGGGACATAAGAATTTAGGTAAGGTAAGAATAGTTGGCCCCGAGAAGATAAGTAATTTAGAAAAAAGTTCAGCGATTGCACAACATTCATTAACACGAAACCTCACAATAGGGTGGGAAAGGGTTAAGATTCTAAGAAGTAATATAGGTAGTTGGAGATAGACAGAGATTGATTACTCAATCCTACATGGCTCTATGAGTCTTCATCCAACACGTGCAACAGAAATGACTCAATGCAAATACCAAATATATGGAAGATATTACCACCAGTCAAATCAGAAGAGGATAATAAATAATCTCAAAATTCCATTTCAATTCAAGCACATCAAAACATTCTAAGAAGTTACTTATTATGAGTATAAAAACACTCGTCTTATTTCCCATCTGATTGCAATTGATCAATAACACTCATATTATTATTTCTGAATGTACATTATCTCATATTGATTTTTATTCAAGTATCTAGTCATTTCCATACATGAATGTAAATGAAGTAAAAAGGTGTGTGAATAACTTGATATGATTATGAGTGGCAATAATTTGTGCTCGAAATGTCATCACATAATATTACTGTGTAACACTGTGTGACTTATCAAAATAAAATCTTATCCATAATGGAGTAGTTATCAAGTGTTGGTTTGTCGTAAGTTGATTGGTTACAGGTTTGATAACGAGTTGGTATACGGTTAGAGTACCATTAGAAGACCAGTAAGGAGTACTGGACAGCTGTTTCGTCCTAGTTTGGAACACTTCATCAGTGCCTACCTATTGATGCTTTAACCCAAGATGTTCCGATTATGAGGCAAGCTCGTAGACCATTCAGTCACTGAGACCAGACCTAATGGCCTATAGATTCTAACTTTTGCCAGTTGATGAACCCAATCAAATCCCTGCAACACTTAATAATTAATCTGATACTCACTGGCAACTGGCTCTATACAGGAAGTTACCTGGAGGTCTACTGAGAAGATGTAACCATTTGGATCCATCATGTCAAGTAATGGGGACAGTTTCTCGCCTGTGAAACTGGTTAGCAGTTGCGCTAAATACATATGTGAAAAAAAAACACGTAGATCAGCGAAGAGTCTATTTTCGACGGCGAATTCATTTTCTTAGCTGTACAATCACAAATATTTATGTGTTATTTGTATGTATGTGTACATTAATTTTGTCAAACGAAAATACAATTGGTTATAGTTATTTAAACTAAACAGGTGAAGATTGGTAATTGGGGTTAAGTAATACAAATTCAGTGAAGAAAATTAGGTGTTAGTGAAATTGGAGTAGTAACAAAGGTGATGAGTTGTTACAAACAGTTGTTAAAAGAAGTTATGTAATAATATGGATAGTTTGATGAGTGAGTTTTACTCAGGATGCACATAGAAACAAAGTAGAGAATACGAAATTACGTAAGAGGTCTAAACGAATACAAGAATTATAAGCAATTGAAGAAACATGCAAGCAAACAAAATTAGGTCACCAAAAATGAACAAAGTTATTACCACGATAACAGAAGTGGTTGAGTAATCCTCTTTTGTATGCACAGCTCCGCTCTTTCTATGTAAATGGCCCGAGTTTCAGCGATACAAAGAAGGCGAAACCGTATTGCCTTTGATAGGTTATTCTTGACTCTGTAGATTACTTTGAAGCAGGAGGCGTTTGTTGAAATGGAATGATCAGTGTTAACCAAATGTTCAACTATCGCACTCCCTATAGCACCACTGTTGCCTCTTTGCAGCCATCCTGGAAAGTGTTCTTGAATCCTCTTGGACAGGATACGCGTTGAACGACCGATTCACCTGGCTCCACAGCAGCAGATGAACTGATATATGCACATAGAAGTGGTCAGATGCGGGATCTTGTCCTTAAGGCTTCTGCAGATCAGTGGGCGACTGGAGAACACTATTCTCAGCGTTGCTGCAAAGAATGTTCTTCTCAGAGATGATGTGATCCTTCTTATGAGAATGTCGCTTGATAAGTCTCCCTTGAAATCCAAGTTCATGTAGAGTTTCCTCTTAGGCGCAATTAAAGCTTCGTTTCTCCGAATTCTTGGCTTAATATTTTTGTCGATGAATCTTATTGGGTATCCATTTTGGATGAAAATTTCTCTGAAAAGATCTAATTCTATTCCTAGAACATCGTGATTACAGATGCGTTAGATAAGGGTAGCAAGGTATTCAATAAAATTCCGCTCTTGTTGAATGGGTACCCAGATATTGAAGCTTGTTATTTGACCATTCCAAGTGGCTTTTATATGGATCGATCGTCTTAAGGTCCCATCAGTTCTTCTTGTTAGATCCACCTCAAGAAACGGAATTTTTGACTCGTTTTCTACTTCAAGAGTGAATTTTATTGCTGGATGGCAACAGTTAAATGTTTTCAGCAGTAGATTGGGGTCATTTTTGTTATCACAAATAATGAATATGTCGTCGTCGTCAATAACACCTAATTTTCTTGACGGATTTTGTATTACGTAACTCCAATTACCAATCTTCACCTGTTTAGTTAAAATAACCATGACCAATTGAATTTTTTTTGACAAACTTAATGTACACATACATACAAAATAACACATATATATATTTGCGATTGTACAGCTAAGAAAATGAATTCGTCGAAAAGAGACTCTTCACTGATCTACGTGTTTTGTTTTCATTAATGCCTGGATGGGGATTATACATGAATTGAAATAAATATATTACGAATTGGCCTTGCTTCATAGCTGGAACGTCCCAGGCTAAAATCCCAGTGGATGCGTATTGATGAAGAGTCTGAAACCAGGACGAAACAGCTGCGCACTACCTTCTACTGGTTCTCAAACTGATGTCAACTCGTGATCAGGATTGTGAACAAGAAAATAAACGGGAGTGGAACAATATTGATCTTTAGGTCAAAATGAGAATGAATGTATTGGTATGGTATTATTTGAGTCTGGAGGTTTCATCGCTGGACTTGTCCATGTCTCCTCAGCATTTACTTTATTAAGGAATGCTTAACGTAAAGAAACATTAAAGTTTGAATAACACTAAACAATTTCTAGTAATGAAAGTATTTGACAGATAAGTGTTAGTGTTCCTTGTTGGCAGTTAGTAGGAAATAGTCAGTGTAATACTAAATCTACGCAGTAGAATAACTGAATCCTTTAAAAGAAACTGCTAATCCAAAAGTGGACTGTTTCATTTTGAAAGAATTTAACAATAGGAATAGCAGAAATAAGTTGACACAATCCGGTTACATTGCATGACGACTGCTCTAACTTTGTCATCATAATAACCCATAAAATTTCGAGTTAGAATGAGTAAAGCCCTGCGAAGATTTTGAGGTTAAGCCAGGAGTAAGACAAGGCTTCCTACTATCACCAATAAGATTACTGAGTGTACTTCACGGGATCATTCTACAGACTGTGTGCAGCGATGAAGACAAGTATGCCTCGAACAATCGGCAAGATAGTTGAGGATAAAGAGTTCACAGATGAATTAGACATACGTAATGTCACATAAACTCGAAGATCCAAAGGTGAAAAAGAAACAGCGAAGATAGGAATTCAAGTGAACACGGGGAAGACACAGGTGATGAAGATGCTTTCTTCTCAAAGGGATCCAACAATGAAAATTCGTGTATTGACCATTCCATTTTGGTTTCCTATTGCTTGTCCTCTGAAGAGAACCATCAGATCTCATTTTTAGAAAAACATCCAAAAAATGGAAATCCGAGTTCATCTCTGATTCCGACATGAACTAGATAGGATGATGGCAGCTGTTAAAATCCGTAGTTATCATCTCGACGTTGGCATTCGCGTCACATATGATAAAAGTATCATCCATGTATCTTTGGTACCCCTATTACTCAACAATGCAATACCATGTAGTTTTGGTAAATATAAATACGACTGTACAGTCTCTGAAGATGATTTTGTCGATAAAGAAAATTTTCTTCACTGGATTGTTTTAGGTATTCTTGAATTCCCAGCCTTAATTGAGCAAATTTTACAGTGGTATACAGTGGCATCAAAAATAAGATCCGGATTTTTAACTCCAATGTGAAGTCAGTGCTACTATACGGATCAGAGACTTGCACTGCGCGTCATATAGAGCATCTCAAACAAACTACAAACCTTCATTAACAGTTGCCTCCGCTCAATACTCAAGATCAGATGACCAGAAAAGATCAGCAACACGGAGCAAATCAACCAGGAACCGATTGTGA